TGGTCTTCTGAAGGAATCCCCACCCCCAATGACGAGGCTAAGGCAGATATTACTGAAAACACTGGGAGAAAGGATGCTGAGAAGAGGGAAGAAACTTTTTATTGTTGAAATTTTCAAACATATACTAAAGTAAAGCCAATAGTATAATGAACCCCAAGTCCCTATTACCCAACACAAAAAGTGCTGACGGTGGTAGCCTGAGGAGGGTTTGAATTGGGGTCATGCTCTAGGCAGGCAGCCCTATAAGAGAGGCCTTATAAGAGAGGCCTGAGAGGGAGGCACCACACTGGCAGAGGAAGTAGGCTTGGACAGAACTTCCTGTGCAGGCTTCATGGTGGGTTCCATGGAAGGCTGAGCCTGGGACACTGGCAAACTGTCCCCACAGCCTACCTTCTAACCCTCAACCCCTCCACCCCTCCCCCCTCACCTCCAACTATCACCTCCACTCCTGGGACCCCCTTGAGTTGAGAACTAACCCAAGTGGCTGGAGGGCATGCATCTGGGAGGGCAGTGCCCACCATGGCTATGTTGGAGGTCAGGTCAGGTTGGGGAGGGTGTTAGAAATATCCTAAGGCTCTTATGCACACCAGCTTCCACCACAGATCCAAGATGGAAGTCCTGAAACCTGGAGAGGTGAGGGCTATGCCTCCAACTCGGGGTGAGCAGGGAGCGGGGAGGGAAGAGGGACCTGGGAGCACAGAACACTTGAGTCTGAGGTTCTCAGACTCAAGAGGGCCCTCCTGCTCTTCAGAGGGACTAAAGCCCATGTCACAGTGGGCTGTGCCACCTTTGCTTGCACATTCATTCTCCCCACCCCCACCCCAAGAAGTGAGTACAGCCATCCAGGCTACATGGTTGGCCAGCCCTGATGTGTCAAGTGTCTTCTCATATTGTCCTGGTCACTACCCCTTGTCTTCAGGACCACAGGAACGGGGTCACCCCTCTTCTACACAAGAGCCTGTGAGGCTTGAAGGCAGCACCCCCAAAAGACTGACCACAGCCTTCTGCTGACCCTCACAGCTCTTCTGTGAGGCACGTATTATTGTGGTTTCCATGTTACGGAGGGGGAAATGGGCTCAGAGAGGACAAATGCCTTGTCCAAGGTCGCACAGGATTTTAATGTACATTCTTTTCAACATTGTCTTTCAAACTAAAGGAAGTCCAACTTCAATTCCTCTTTTTGCAATGAGGCTATTCTTTGCTTTTTCCTAAATGTGCCAGGATGAAAGATACTGCCTTCTGGGCAGGAAAAGGCAGAGCTGAAATAGAAACATTTTCTTGGGAGATTGAGGAGAAGGTGGGCCCCATCCGGCTCCTCCACTGGAGCTGTGGCCTAAGCTTCAGGAGCAATCATACTGCAAAGGACTGGGGGTCTAAAGGGGCCTCCCCACCTCCCTTCCTCTGATTCTGGCCAGGTTTCCTCATTGGAGTTTCCAGAAGCCTGAGGGGTGCTCTGGGGGTGCTGTAGCTCATTCTGAGAGGAGTGTGGGTATGGGGAAACTTTCCTGGCATAGGAGGGACTGGGAAGTCCCCAGGGAGAGACTCCTCTGTATTAGTGGAGTCACAGGTAACAGGCTCACAGGGGCAAGAGCAGGAAGCTTGTCCTGATAAGGCACTTGGAATGGTCTGGATGGAAGATGCTTTTGTGGTGCAGATGGGGAAAACTGAGGCCCAAAGAAGAACAGGGCTTTTCTAGAGACACAGGGCAGGGCAGGAGCCCAGGTCTGGATACCACCCCCTGCCACTGGAGCTCCCCACGAGGAGTCATATTCTTGCAGTGGAGAAGAGTATGTCCTCAGCTAGGTTCTCAGTGGTCCCCACCACGCTTCAGAGACAGGGCCTTATTTGAGCCACTTATCATACGCAGGACACAGTGGCAGGGAGCAGTGCCTGTAGAGTTACAGCATGCCATCAGGGACTACAGGAGTAACCCAGTCACACAGCTAAATACATTGTGAAACTGGGACCTTGTTCCTAAAGGTCTGGATCTTCTCAGCCCCAGCAAAGCCTCCTGAAGAATATCTCTAGACCAGACTGAGAGCCACAGGAAGGGGGGAAAGGCATTTGAGAGACCTGGGCTATCTCTGTCTTCTTCCAGTCCTGCAACCTGTCAGCTAGTATTGGGCAGACACTGGGGATCTGTGGGTGAGCTGGCAACTTCTGAAGTTCCTTCTAAATGGATCAGCTCTATTTCCCACAATGTAAGATTCTCTACGTTTCACTCTTCACCAGGCAAACCCCTGCCATCCTATAAAACCCAGCTGGAGGTACAGCAAATGACCATGTGCAAAGCCACAGAAGGAGTCACATCACATTCCAAAGAATCTTACAGACCATGATCTCCAACCACAATGCAACATAATTAGAAGTCAACACGAGAAACATAAACCTCCCATAGGCTGAGAAGCTAAAACACACTTCTCAATCATCCATGGGTTAAAGAGGAAATGACAGTGAAATTATGAAATATTTAGAACTGAATGATAAGAAAAGCACATAGCAGTCTGTGTTTCCTCTGTAAGTCCAAGTCCCTAACCCACATCCTAAGTACCTTCCATTGCCTCTTCCCAACCCCCCCCCCAACACACAAACACACACACACACACACACACACACACACACACACACACACACACGGAGGCTGACTTCTGTAGGTGGGTCAACAGGTTCCCTGCCCTTGGCTTCAAGAGTAGGAATTGGCCAATGGAGAGACCTGCCCAGAAGTCAGAGGAAGGGAGGTGGGGAAGGCCCCTTTCGACCCCCAGTCCTTTGCAGTATGATTGCTGTGAGCAGGTTATGCCCCTGGAGCTTAGGCCACAGCTCCAGTCAGCAGCTCCCTCCTCATAGCTCCCACTTTGACAACTCCCTCCCAGCACCTCTCAGCTAGGGGTGGCAGCTTCAGCCTAGGGTGGACATCAAAAGGCTGCTCTTGCCAGCCCTTTGATGATACTCTATCCGTGTGGTTTCCCTGTACCCTGGCTATATCTCTAAATAGCGCCTTCTTTAAACTCTCCTCAAAATGCCCAATTTGGGTGTTCCATGTGTTTCCTGCAGTTAATCACTCTCACAAAGTGCTCCCCATCAGTCTGTAACCATGCTCTCACTTCTGGATGACTGAGCTCTGACCTTGTGTGATTTCTGTGTGTTGTCCCCTTGCTGGCCTGTTGTCAGCTGAGGTCAGGAACCGCAGCAGCTTCCTCACCTGATGCCCTGCTCTCAGCACAGTCATGCTTAATACCGGGGATTAAATAGGGTATCAAACAAAGAACTAGATTTGAATCTCTTCTGCATATACTAGAGCATGCAAATATTTGTAGGGGTTTGAGATAGAGTTAAGGACCCAGGAAACCCCAGCAAGAGGTACAGCAAATGACTTTAGACGGGGACAAAAATAGGTGCTCAACAAAAGAAAGAACCTTCAGTTCTATGGACTGGGATTCATGATCCAGCGTGTTCTCATGCCATCTATGGAGCAAGCAGAAGATCCAGACACAGGGGAGCCCAGGAAGCCTCTGTGCCACAGTATATGCCTTCCGCAGCCTATGCGTCTGCCTTGGCCCTCCCACTCTAGGCCTCCAACCTTCCCTGCCAGCCCAAGACAGCCACCTGGTCCCTCCTCCTGGGGCCCACCTGTGATTGGATGCTGGTGTGGGATCTCTGTCTGCCCTCAGGGGAAGGACCCAGATAGAAAAGTAGGAAGAACAGTCAAGTCTGAAGGGTTTGGATTTGGTTGAAAGGAAGGAGGGAAAGAAGACATTCAAATGGAACAGCTAGAACAAATGTCTGGTGGTGGGAAGCAGTGATTTCAGGTAAGGAGTGAGGAGAACCAGCCAGGTCTGAGCAAGCACCCCAGCCCTGGTGGGGAAGGTGAAAATCTGTGATCTGAGCATCTTCGGGGCCAGTCCTTTCAGTGAGGGATTCATGTGCCCTGAGGCATTCATTCATTCATTCATTCATTCACTCATTCATTCATTCAGTAAATGGGACTATGTGCCTGCTGTGTGCCAGGCAATATGCCAAGAGCTGAGGGTATGGAAGTGGATAGGGCAGAACTGATCCCTTAGTGAGTTCAGGCACAAGTGCAACACACGTGATTCGGGGAGAGCAAGAAAACCACCATTATCTAGCAGCGCCTTTGTTTCTGTTCCAAACGAAAGCTGAACTTGTCCCCATTTTACAGCGGAGAATGCTGAGACTGCCTCTTTGGCAGAAGTGTAAGCAGACACTCAGTTTGCCCGAGGAGAAGTTGGGAGCGCGATACAGACTTTCCGGAAAGGCGACAGTGCGCGCGTGCACTGAGGGGGAGGGTCCCCACTCCCCGCCCCTTCCCCGCCCCTTGGCCACAGCGCGGCGGCCGGAGGCCCGGGGAGGAGCTGGCGTTGCCTCCGGGGCGATAGGGCGTCCGCAGCCCGGCTGGGCAGACCGGTGGACAGACCAGAGGACCCGCGGAGGGAGAGGACCGGCCAGCGCGCTGGGGCTGTGACCCGCGGCCAGAGCAGGACTCGCTCTCATCCACCGAGGAGGACCCGTGAGTGATCCCCGCACCCGCGCGCCCCGGCCGGGGCCACGACTCAGCCTTGCTTCCACTTTCAGTTCTTCCGCCGTCCGGGCGTGGCGCCGTCGGGGGCGACCTCTGCCCGAAGCCAGGCTGGCCACAGTCCTCGGTCCGGGTCCGAGCAGCGAAAGTCGAAAGTCAGGGTTTGGGGGTTCCAGTGTTTGAGGGGGCGTGTCCTCGGGAGCGGAAATGTCTGGCCTGCCCCTCTGGGTCCTACGACCGGCCTCTCCTGACATTTGGGCAGGAGAGAGGTGGAGGAGACCGATGGCCAAAGGGTGGGCTTGGGTGGCTGAGCGTTGCGGGGACTCTGCAGACTCTGCACAGAGCACGGAGCCCCACCCCGACTCTTCTCTTGGATCTCTGCCCTGCAGGGAGCCCCCTCCGCCCCCACGCCTTTCCCACAGCTCTAGGCTGGGTTCTAGGTTCAGCCTGAGGAGTGGCAGGTGTGGCCCTGGCAGGGGGCTGTGTCAGAAACAGGAAGTGTTCCTCTGTGGTCTTCCTTTGAGCGGCCCAGGTGCCCACCCAGGCTGTGAGCCATCACTGGCCACCTCAGGAGTAACAGGACACAGCATTGGGAAATAGGACTAAGAGGGGCAATAGTTTTGATTCAGGGAGAGAACCAAGGGAACTCAGGAAGGTTTGGAGTGGCAAGTGAGGAGAATCAAGTGGCATGGAGAGAGAGCACCTACCCATCCTCCCACTGGCAAGCTTACCTTTTTCTGGGAAAGACCCAGGCCTGGAGGTAAGGTGGGACTCTAGCCCACTGGTCAGGACACCCAAGTTGCTGCGGGGCAGTGGGGAGGCTCAGCGTGTTGGAACAGGAATTAGGTGGTCTAACTGGTGGGAAGATGCTTTCCCTCTCCCTCCACTCCCCTCCTCTCCCTTTCTCTCCTCCAGACCAGGGACCAGCTAGTGCAGCCAGTGTAGGAAAATGGTCTTTTATTCTTGTCTTGGGCTGCACCGCACCTTATCCCAGTTCCCAGTTCTGCCCTTGGAGATCCTCTGCCTGTAACTTGCTGTGCGAATGAAGGCTCTCAAGTCCCCTTTCTGGGCCTCATACTTCCCATCTGTTTAAGAAGTGGGTTGGGTCAGTTGATTTCTCAGGGCTATTTCAACCCTAAGATTCTTTTTTTTTTTTAACTTACCTTTAATGTTGGAAGTTATACAGATGTACATTTTTTCCCCATGGACCCCTTCTAGCCCACCCCTTCCCAACCCCAGGTCTTCACCACACTATTGTCTGTTCCCTTCTAGCCCACCCCTTCCCCAACCCCAGGTCTTCACCATACTATTGTCTGTGTCTATGGGTTATGCATAGATGTATATAAGTTCTTTGGTTAATCTCTTCCCACCCATCCACGCCTGCCTTCCCTCCGAGAACCCTAAGATTCTTGAGTTTAAACTTTCCTTAAAGCCTGGGCATTGACCATGTGCCAGACCCTGCCCTAGGCTGGGCGTCGGGGTGGAGGGGTGTGAAGATCCAGAGGCAGGAGTGAGGGGCATGCTCAGGGATGAGTAGGAAGCCCAGCGTGGTTGGTTGGGAAGTGGGGCAGGAAAGGTAGGGGGGTAAGGTGTTGAATGCCAGAGTGAGGGTCTGTTGGTAACAGTCAGTAAAGGGAACTGGGCGAAGGTAACGAGCCCAGGAAGCCCACCTGATTGCAGTGTGAGAGATTTTGGAAGCACCTGCCCAAGCAGAGTTTAGAATGCAGGTAACACGTGAAGCATGGAAGTCGCCTGCTCTTGGGTCAGGAAGCTCAGGTCCCATGCTGGGGACTTCTTTGGGTGAGAAGGTGGGGGGCAGGGGATGGAGTCTCCAAGTTCCTCTCATTTTATTTGTCCTCTTCTTTGCCTGCCTGTTGTGGTTACAACAAAGAACCCCTGTTCCGAACTTCTCCACTAGCTTGACTTATTGCCTGACATGACACCTCCCCCAACCCATATTTACGGTGCCTTTGGTTACATCCAGTGTCACCTTTTCCCCATCCTCCTTCCCCAGTCCTGTCCCAGTATTACTAGGGACATGAGAAAGGAAAAATGCTCCAATGTCAGCTCTGAGGTTTTGTTTGTGGCTATATTCAAGCCTCAGTCTAGGACGGGAGTCAGCACCCCCACTGACCAGGGTCAAGATCAGGTCAGAGTTCAACCTGGAGCCAGAGCTCAGTGCTTGGCCTATCCTCAGCCTTAGTGCTCAGTCTAAGGGCCAGTGCTCAGTTTGTGGCTAAATTTGTCTCAGTAGGAACCTAGGTCTGCATTTCCCAAGAGCTCACAGACTCACAGAGGAGGAAAGAGCCTACCTCGAGAGTCACAGTAACCTGGACTATATCGGAGTGACTCAGGAAGTTGCATGGGCCAAGTCCATGCGTACCTACTACAGTCATGGTGGTGCTGGGCCTATAACCCAGGACTTCCGCCTGTAAGCTTGGGGCTCTGATTGCTGTCCTCAAGGTCTGTTTTGAGTCTGGGATTCTTCAGTTCTAAAAGGCAAAGCAAATTCATATGAATTCTAGATGGGCCCAGCTGGGTAGATCTGACTGCATTCCTACCTTCCAGTTCCAGGCACATAGTGGGTGCTCTAGGAATGTCTACTGCGTAGCAGGTGCAGGGGGAGGGGCCTGTTGGGGTTTCCGCAAGAGGAGGCTGGCTTGGGGGGAAGAATCTCCAACTGCTGTTGGAGGAGGTGGTGCCCTTCTAGACCTGCTACCTCCCCCTCTCCTCCAGCCACTCACAGGCCACCCAGCTGGCCATATAAGGGCTTTTCCTCTTTCAGGGTAATAACAGGAAAGGACATTTTTGGTAGAAAAGTCCCTCCTGCTCTCTGGGAATCCCCGGTGGCTGGTAGCCGGGGCCGGATGAACTGTAAGATATCCCAGAGGAAGCTGAAGTGGGGCGGGCGGGGCTCCCCCTACCCCCAGCACAATGCCACCAGGCTCTCCCACGCCGCACCAGGTGGCCTGTGGGGCCCCCAGAGGTCATCTTGTCCAGGGCCGGCAGGAAGCCTCTGTCACCTCTTTACTGGTCAACAGCAAGTCTAAGGAGCACCTGTTTGGATCCGAGGCCCAGCCCTCTGTGAGATGCAATGAATATGGAGAGGAAACAGAATAAGAAGGCAGGGCTGTGGCACTGGACAGGGGAGCTAGGACAGCCTGGGAACAGAGCAGGGTGCTGGACCGAGGGGATGAGGAAGATTTAGAATTCGAAGAGGCTGCTGAGATGGGCCAAAAGCTGAGAGGTGAGAGGGCATGATGTGTTGGGAAGTCAAAGCACATTTGGTAAGAACCTGACCACCATGCTCTTCCACGCCCTTGGCTCTGGCAGGGCATCCGCAGGTCCTTCCCCTGGACACCCGTCCCTCCGCCCAGCCTGGCCATGGCCCTGTGCCTGAAGCAGGTGTTTGCCAAGGACAAGACTTTCCGGCCACGGAAGCGCTTCGAGCCGGGCACACAGCGCTTTGAGCTGTACAAGAAGGCACAGGCATCGCTTAAGTCCGGCCTGGACCTGCGCAGTGTGGTGAGGCTGCCGCCGGGCGAGAATATTGACGACTGGATCGCCGTGCACGTGGTGGACTTCTTTAACCGCATCAACCTCATCTACGGCACCATGGCTGAGCGCTGCAGCGAGACCAGCTGCCCGGTGATGGCTGGAGGGCCCCGCTACGAGTACCGCTGGCAGGACGAGCGGCAGTACCGGCGGCCAGCCAAGCTCTCGGCACCGCGCTACATGGCCTTACTCATGGACTGGATTGAGGGCCTCATCAACGATGAGGACGTCTTTCCCACTCGCGTTGGTGAGTGCCACCTGGTCAGGCCTGGCCAGGGCGGGAGGGAGCCACTGGAGCCCATTTCACAGATGCGGCATTTAGTTTGATATAAGAATTGTGTGGAGTGTGTGTTTGTGTTTGTGTAATTTTCATCCCCATTTTGTAGAAGAGGAAACAGGCTCTGAGAGGTTCAATGTCTGCTTGTCAAGATCAGACACCTCAATTTCAGACGGCCTGACTCCCAGTTTGGGGTTCTTCTTGTCTAAAGCTTGAGTGCCCCTCCAGGGACCAACCTGGGGAGACCACTATGATCCTCAGAACCTTCCAGAAGAGGTGCCTCAAGGTGCTCCTAACAGGTTACCCTCCTTGGGTTGATCTGGCTTGCAGCTCCGGTCCCCAGAAGGGGAGGGGGTGGAGATTGGATGTGCTGACAGTATTTCCACCTCAGGGAGCTCTAAGGGCAGAGCTCCAAGCTGTGGAGACTTTTCTTATCTCAGCTGGGCAGCCTGGGCAGAGAAGGGTGGGTAAGGGAGAGAGTGATGTCACCCTGGCCCTGCTTCCACACCCAAGGGCATCAAGAAGGGGTGTTGGCATGACACTGTGTTCATCACAGCAGCCCCACCCCCACCTGGCCTCAGGGCTTTGGGAATCAGAGGTGGGTGAGGCAGGGTGGTCAAGCCCAGAGGAGAGAAGTCTGAATGCTGAGCACTGAGTCACAATTCAATGCCCTAGGCCCCTCCCCAGCTGGTGGCCTGTCATTTCCTGCACTATCATGCCCAACAGTGGGTATCTTCATATCACACAGGAGGAAACCTAGGCCAAGAGAGGGATTGTGCACTGAGTCAGGAGCATCCAGAACTACAGCTCGGGTCTCTTGGGGCCTGGACCCCAAGTCTAGATAGGCAGGACAAGTCTGAGGAACCTGGACCGGGCCTAGAAGGGCTCATGGAGAGGCAGGGCTCAACCCTTCCTGAGAAAGTGAGGAAGGAGAAGGGATCTGTGAAGCAGGGTGGGCCAGTGTGGGCCTGTATCTGGGCTCTTATTCCCTTCTAGCCTTAACCCCCGGGTGTATGAGACCCCAGATGTCTGTGCCTTAACCCTGGGATGGCAGAGAAGCGCACATGGCCACCAAGATTTCCACCCTGAGCATGGGGGACTATAGGAAACTGTGTCTTTTTCACAGGCTCTAGAGCTCTTCTTTTTTAAATATATTTTTATTGATCTCAGAGAGGAACGGAGAGAGAGATGGAAACATCAGTCATGAGAGAGAATCATTGATCAGCTGCCTCCCACACGTCTCCTACTGGGAATTGAACCCACAACCTGGGTATGTGCCCTGATCAGAAATCAAACCTTGACCTCCGGGTTCATAGGTCAATACTCAACCACTGGGCCACACTGCTGGACCCTAGAGCTCTTCTTGAGCGGAGTCTGTGGCATTTATCTCAGAGGGATGCTACAGTGCAGTGCAGACAGGGTTTGAATCCTGCCTCCAGTCAGTACTAATTAATAGTTATGTGGCCTCGGGCAAGTGGCTCCAACTTTATGCACCTCCATGTTATCACATCTAGGATGGCTATCATACCAGGCAAAAGGTGCAAAGGGCCCGTCACATGGCCTGGCTCACAGATGGAAGAGTGTTATTGAAAATTTGAAGGAATGAGAGATATCTGAACTAGTTCTTGAAGCCTTAGTAATTCTCGGGATTAGGGGCCTGGGGACTGCACTGTGTATGTTGCAAAGAGGAAGCGGGTGGGGTTGGAGAGGGAGGCCAGAATCCTGAAAGGCCTTGAGCAGGGACCATGCTGGGAAGTTAGGATTTAATTATGAAGGCCCATGTTTTTAAAAATGGACCCCAGATGTTGATGAGCTTCCCTTGGAATTTTATCCAAAGGTGTCTTGTGAGAGCACCTACAGATGCATATATTTCTGGGGAGCATTGAGGCATTACTCCCTTTCATCATACTCTAGGAAGGGTTGTTCAGTGACCTCCAACCAGGTGGCAGAGTCCTCCTCAGAGTCAAGGGAAAAGGCGGAAGATAATTTGTATTTCAGTGGAACAGAAGCAAATCAGAGTTGTGCTTCTTAAAAAGGGAAGTATGGGGGAAAGCAAATCACGACCTCTCTCTGCCTTCCACAGGGAAGTGTGCTAGGGAAGAGGCCGTCCTGGCCAAGGCTGCCTGTATGTGGGAGGGCAGGCAGGGCTGGGTAGGGTTTCATACCAGGATTCTGGTCCCCCTCACTTCTGTCCCTCCCCATCCCCCTAGGAGTCCCCTTTCCCAAGAACTTCCAGCAGGTCTGCACCAAGATCCTGACCCGCCTCTTTCGAGTCTTTGTCCACGTCTACATCCACCACTTCGACAGCATCCTCAGCATGGGGGCCGAGGCACACGTCAACACCTGCTACAAGCACTTCTACTACTTCATCCGAGAGTTCAGCCTGGTGGACCAGCGGGAGCTGGAGCCACTGGTGAGGCCAAGCCCCCACTACCCTCCCCTGCCAGCGCTAGCCTCTGAGTTTTCAGATCCAAAGTCTACCTGTACTAAGAAAATCCAATACCCAAATGGATAAATTAGGAGAAGGCAATTCATTTAACAATGATTCTGTACTTTAATAGAGAATGTGTTCGAGTTTCAGTTTACAAATCCAGATCTGTAGCCTGGAGTTGGGGTGGGAGGGGGGAAGGGGCCAAGTTCAGGCAGAAGAGCAGCCAGGTCCTATGGTTTGGGTGGGGGCTGCCTGGCAGGTTGAGCTCTGACTGACTCCCATTCCTCACCCCACCCCCACTCTCACCCCCACCTTGTGTCTCTGCAGAGGGAGATGACAGAGCGGATCTGTCACTGAGCCTAGACCCGGACACTGTTGCTCATCAGATGATCGTCTGAATATAGAGTGGCTGAGGAGGGGGACCCTTAGGAGTCTGGTGGCAGAGGAACCTGAAGGCCCTGGGACCCCTCCACACACCCAAAGCCCCTGGACTTCTGGTTCTCAGGAGTCTGCCCCTATGCCCCCTGACTGCTTGTGAGTGGAGAAAGGGAGGATTTAAACGTGGGCAAACAGGAGGAAAGGAGGAGCTAAACCTCTGACATGAAGTCTAGGGATGGGGTAGGCTAGAGGGTTTCCACTCTGACACTTGACCTTTTTGTGGTGGTTCCCAAGCCTAACTGGGCAATGTGGATGTGGTTGAGGTGCTGGCAAGAAAGGTACAAGAGTGAGCAGCCTGTGTGTGAGTGAGCACTGTGTGTGTGTGTGTGTGTGTGTGTGTGTGTGTGTGTGTGTGTGTGATTTTGACTGTGGAGAGCGTCTGTGAGAGCCAGCCACCTTCGACCCTACCCTCCCTGGCACATAGTGGGACCTCATAAATGTTAGGCAGATGGATGGATGGAAGGAACAAAGGAACGAGGGAGGAAGGGGAGGAGAGATTGGGACCATCAGACCATGATCACAGTAGGAGTGATGACAATTCACTGTCCCCTCTCGGTGTGTCTGATGATGTGTAAGTACAATATGTGGTTGTAGGTGGGTGTAGCTCTATGTTTGAAACTTCCAGGCTATCTTTTTCCATCAGCATGAATTCTGAGGAACTGAGGAGGTAAGAAAGGAGCATTGCCCTGGGTACCTAAATCCCTGGCCCACCACAGACACAGGTTCTGATTGCTCAGCCAGGGATGCCCAACAACTAGCATTTCACTCAGCCCTCTGCCTCCAGAAAGGCCTGATTATAGACAGCCTCCTGGGGGTAAGGGGTGATCCCTCTGGCCACAATGGTCCTCTGGTGCTTAAATTGGGAATCACATACTCCAATCTAGCTTCTAGAATCTACACTTGACTCCCAGCATCTGAAGCCCAGCACAGGATAATAATCCAACCCAAGGATCTAGTAGAACTTGAATTGGGAAATTCTGGAGAACTTGAATTGGGAAATCCCAGGACATTAAGAACCACGGGGCTAGTGAATGCACTCTTCCAGGCTTGGAGAAACCCCATCCTTCAAGCACTTGCCTCCTTTCAACCATCCTGAGACATTCCAGCTGGTTGGTTCTCAGAGCACAGCTGTTCCCAGAGAAACTGGGGTGTTCATTCAGTACTCCATTACTCAGCACTCCCATGCCCAGCCCTGTGCACAGACCCACAGGTGTGGAAATTGAGGCAGGGACAGGGTCCTCCCTTCCCAGAGCCTCCACACTGGAAGGCCAGAAGGAGAGCCAGAAAAGACCTGAATCCTCACAGAATCCTCCACGTACACAAGAGGAAACTGAAGCCAGGAGGAGAAGCTGTCCTGGCCTCACGGCAAGGCTTTGTGGAGCTGAAGGAGAAGCACATGGAATGAGGGTTTGCCAGCCCCTCTCCAGGACACAACTGTTCCTGCTTTGAGCAAGGATTTCTAGCCTGATGTCAGAGTGCCCCACCTTCCCTCAGGCCTGCCAGGGCTGTCTGCTGAGCCAAACCTCCAAACTCATGCCCCTCTCCATGACCCAGCAGCTGCCTGATCTCTGGGGAAGCAGATGGGGCTCCTGGAGTCAGCCCATTGGACTCGGGCTGCTGCCTCCAGAGAAGTTCCCAAGGGAAGCAACACTGGCCCTGCAGCTTTGCCAAAGGCTCTGGAGTGAGGGGAAGGGAGGTGTCAAAGATTCTCCCAGGGACAGTGGATGGTAAGATAGATTCTAGGCCCTGGCTGTGGCCGGTGCTGATTGAAG